CATCTGTGAATAGTTTCTGAAAGTTTCATTAACATCTGACAATTATTTTTATTTTTGCAAGATTTTCCAAATTAATGTGTGTAAATACAAAAAAACGCACTAAAAATTATCTGTTATTTACTACCCCTTGTTGTGACAAAGAGAAACAAGGTTTTTAAATCAAAATTTAGAATATTCTAAAAGATGGAAAAATTTTTAAAAATAATTAAAAAAAAAATTTAGTCTATCCTCTTCATAAAAACATAAGCATTTTGACAAAATTTTGTTTTCATAAACTTTGGCGTCTTTTTCATCAGACTATGCTCTGTTTTAGCGATTCCGTGGAGTGACTTAGGTTAAAAAACCCTGTGTGTGTGTGTTCCTTTATATATGAGATTGGATTTCTTACATTTTTCAGCCAATAAAACAAACATCCACTTTTTTTTTTTTTTTTTGGCAGGTAGTATTTTATTGTCTTGCACACTTTTTTTCTTTATTTACATTCAGAATGCTTTAAAAATTCCATTTACAAGACAGTTGTTTATAATAAAATTCTATTCACCAATCGATAGACTCATAACGATTGTAAACAATGTTTTTGTTTGAATTTGGGTTTGACCAATTCGTAAAAAAAAAAAAAAAAATATAATTAAGACATGCGTGTCCGTCAACCTTAAACAATAATCTTTGTCAATTTTATTTTTCAGTCTTTATGATGGCCGATACTTGATCTATCTCTTACTGTTACATCTCCGGCAACGGATGGGCTCTACTACTAGTATATATATATATATATATATATATATATATATATATATTTTCTTATCAAATACATCCTTTTGCTGGAGTTGATAGATAATCTAATTTAAACTGATTTATTTAAATTATCTATAATTTTGTGGTGGTGGTTAGATTCTTAGCTGATGTATCTATGGTTATGTAGCTGTTTGGTATATGGTTTGTAATAAACATTATTCAAGTCTGAGGTCACATTGAGAAAGTTGATCACTTTAGCATTGGTGGTAGTAGTAAGATTTAATTTGTGATCTTTTAAAAATATTTTTTAGTTCCTTCCTCAATCAGTCTATATTTTGTCAGCTTGTTTGCGGAGTAGAATTACACCATCCCTATAGAGGTGATGGTGTAATTCTCCTTAATGTTGAGAATAAATCTAAGTCTCCACAATAATAATATTCCAACTAATTTGCATTCCTCTGCTGAGTCAGATGCTCACATAGCAATATTAAATTCTGCGTTACTTTTAGTCTACAGATAACCAATATACATTAGTATAGGTTTTTGTGCCTGCTTTATGATATTTATTTTGTAATTAACACCAGCACTATATGTGCAATATATTTACGGGAGCAAATTTTCCGGAATCATGGACAGAATCGCAGAATTGTTACTCTTAAATAGAATCTGTTAAACATTTTAATAAATATGACATTAACTTTAACATAACGTATTTAATTCCTTAAAATATTTTTTACAAATATTTGCAGTTATTTTTCCTTTTTAAGACCCCCAAAAAATTAGACAAAAATGTTTGCATTAAAAAAGGGTTCATTTGCAGTATAAGCACCAAAAGGCCACAGTAATGAAAATGTTCCATTATGGTGTGAAATTGCCTGATTATTTTGAAAATGACATTCAAAGTTTGTGTTATATTAAGATTTAGGAGTTATGAACAATGTAAGTTCGACTTCTTTTGTGAGTAATCATGCATGAAAGCTTCACTTGTCTTGATTACTGCACAATGCAGAACATTTAAAATGAATGCAGAAGAAATGAAAAATAAAATCAAAATTATGTGCCTGAAAGGATAAAAAAAATTTTTTTTTTTTAAAAAATGTGTTTCGAAGTTTCCATAAAACCTGAAAATTAAAATAAAATAGAAATTATGTGCCTGAAAAAGGAAAGAAAAAAAATGTTTTTCTTGTTTTCGACAGTGTTTTATTTGGGGGTGGGGAATGGGTTCATCCATAACATTTATTTAGAAAAGCTTTTGATTGTTTCTATATCAAATTTAAACCAATTTAATAATAATAAAAAAAAATTCATTGTTTAATAAAGCTTCAATTCCACAAAAAAGCAATACTTTTAATTGGAAAAAGTAATTTATAACAATTAAATAAAATCTATTCATTTAAAGCCTCATTTTTAAATAAAGAAGCACATTTTTAAATAAATTGCGCAGTAATCAAGACTAGTAAAGAGATATGAAAAGCAGTAAAAAGACTGTTAACTAAGTAAGTTTCCACGCATTACTATTTAAAGGCAAATGTATGTAAACAATGCCATAAATGGCAGTTGGACAAAGTGAAAGAGGTCTAACTTACATGGTTGATAAATCCTAAACCATAATAGAGCACAAACTTTTAATATAATTTTTGAAAGACTCAGGCAATTTCATACCATAATGGAACATTTTTATTACCGTGGGATTTTGGTGCTTATACAGCAAATTAACCAAAAAAAAAACTGATTTGTCAGTTTTCTGAGAGTATGTTGGCTAGTCTATTTTAAATATTTTTCTAAGAAACTCTATGTAGCAAACAAGATGAAAGTCTGAAGATAATAACCTCATCTGTGTTCGTCTCTGACTGAAAGCAGAGAATTTGACATCTTGAACTTGCTCAAGCCTAAGCTGGAAAGCAAATTCCAAAGCAAGTGGAAATGGAAGATAGATACTAGTCAATATTAAAATTGAAAGTGGAGAGAGATAGACAAAGATCAAACTAATAAGTTTAACAAATTGTAACAGAGAATTGGGCTGGCCTGATAAAGACTCCAAGTTGGTTGTATGTGGTGCTGTAAGCACCAGGAGTTGTGTCCCCTTCCACAATGGGCTGTTGAGAGAAGACTTTCTACTAGTAGGTGTAGGTGGTGCAGACTATTTGTATATAACCAATACTGGGCAGGTATTAGCCAATGGTCAGTGTGGGTTTGGAACTAGGAGAGCTATATAAAACCAGTGTTTTTCTCAGTCGAGAGAGGTGCTCTTAATGTGATGATGTGCAAAAACTAGATAAGACGAACACACAAATTCATTTTCCTTTAATGTTCTAAACAACTTATAACCTTCTGTTATGAATATGAAAGAAAAGTAAATTCTATCACATGTCTACCACACAATTTAGAAATATAGAAAATTTTTTTTTTTCAAACACACCATTCTATGCTCATCTGGCTTGTCTACTCCAAAACTTACTGTCACACAGCAATTCTCCCAGATTAATAATTGCATCATCTTCAGTGCTTCACCACTGTAAAAGAAATTTAAATTTTCTAATGCAAATAAGAGCAGATTTCCTTTTCTGGAACAGATTGCCAATAAGGTCATATAGATGCCTGTTACCAGTGTAAATGCTGAAAGTTCATTTTCTCAGTATAAACATTTACTCAATAAACAATGTGAAAGTTTTACCCTTGAGAACACCAAGCAACTCACAGTGTATTACAATAGAGATTTAGAGAAGAGATTTAAAGATTAAATATTTCCCAAATTAAGAAATTAGCAATTTTAAATTTGAGCATTGGGATAAGTTGTTTTATTTAAATTTTGAATTAATATGTCTGCTAATTTGTTTTTTGATATTTTATTACAGATTCAGTTATTATGGTTAATTACTTTTTGTAAAATTTTAATCAAAATGTTTGACTTTATTCAGATATTTATTATTGAGATTCAAGTTATTTGCTGTTGATACTTTGAATGTGATTTTTATATTATGAATCAATAATTATAAATCAATCTAAATACTTTTACATAAACAAAAAAAAAAAACAATTTGAATGTGTTCTTAAAGAACGAAGCTCTTATTAAAAGTTCTACATCAAAAATAATTATGCACTGTAACATTCCATTGTTTTATTGTTTAGTCATATTATATTTTTTTATTTTTGAACTTGGATTTTAACATTTAAAAAAGATTTGTAGATATTTGCTATTTCTTTATATGCAATAAAAATTTGAATTATTTTTGTTTTCAGTTTTAATAATAATTATGGCATAATGTATTGAAAATTTCTCATAAAATACTATAAAAATGAAATTTCCCAAAAGTAAAAACAGAAAAAAAACACAATTTACTAAAAGTGGAAATGGAATGGAAAATTTGAAGCGGAAAATTGGGGGCCTTATATATTATAATTATTCACACACACACACACACACACAATAAACACACACGGTGTATACTTGAATATCATGCAACCTTTGAACACATAATTTTGATGCTAATTTAACTGCAGTAAATGGATATATAGTTTGGTCAACAACATAACTAGCGCCAGCAGTACATATACTAATTTAATATCTTGTGTACGATGTAAAAAAAAAGAAAAAAATAAAACTTCAAAATTAGGTCTTCAAAAGTTGCTTGATATATAAGTATATGTGTTATATTGTTTATGAGCCTGCTTGGTGGCTGAGTTAGTTGTATATTTCCATTCACTGCTAGTTTCAAGCCATGTAATTCAAGATTTCACTTGCAGACAGATGTTTACATTGGAATTTGACATAATCTTCCTTTTTGTGTCTGAGCCGTTTACCCATAACTTCAGTAAATAAACTTAGTAATTTTCATTCTGACTGCATACAGCAATATATATGTATGTCTACACATACATGCAAATACAAATTCAGAAAGAACATTTAGTTTAGATATCTATGATATAATATTTGTATTCAGAGAATTGTGAAAAGAAAAAAGATTCAGTAGGAGACAATTGAATAAAGCCATTTTCCTGAGTTTGAAATCATAATTAATTTTTTTTGTTAATTGATTTAAATTTTTATTATGTGATTAACCTTTCAGGTAATTTGCCCACGAGAAAAAGTAATAAATAAAATTCAGTCCTACATTTGCTTTGTGCAGTTCATTCCCCAGACTTTTATATATCAACTTCTATATACTAAAGAAAAGGTTTTTTTTCATTTTGTATTTTGTTTCATCCACACTTTTATGCTGCCCCTATTAAAAAAAAATAATAATAATGTAAAAATCTGTTCTCAGGTGGATATACAACGTTAGATAAACCTCATCCTCGAGGTGAAATCCTTGTTGGGGGTGGAAACATTGCCATGGGATACTACAAAAATGAAGAGAAGACCAAGGGAGACTTCATCAAGATTAATGGAATCAATTATTTCTGCACAGGAGACATTGGTGAATTTGAAGCTGATGGCTCTCTCAAAGTTATTGGTAAGTAGCTGACTGTAATTACACATTTCACACTAGTTTGTTCTTAAATTCATCAAAAAAGTAAGAATTTAACTTTAGGAGATTAGTGGAACACACAACTTTTTGTATAAATAATTTGAATTATCCTAAATAAATACAAGTAAAATAATAATGGGTTGATTTATACCTTTGAAAATAAACAAATTATCTTAGGTACCTCTGTGAAAATCAATAAAAAGAGCATAGCATGACAAGAATGGCCTTAAATTTGATGAAAAAAATTTTAAGTATTTTTTGATTAATTTTTTTTTTTTTTTTTTTTTTTTTTTTTTATATAAATCTTTTACTCATTCTTAGCATGTCTGAAATTTTAGTTAAAAATCTTTTTTTTTTTTTTTTTTTTTTTTGTCAACGAAATTACTAAAAAAAAAAAAAACTCTATCATTTTTTTTTTTTTTTTTTTTTTTTGAATTTTGTAAACTAAGTTAAAATCCTAGTTTAAAATTCGTCCAAAAATCAATTATACATTTTTCAAAATTTATTTGATGAGAATTAGCAAATTTAAAGATTATTTAATATATTTTGAAAGAAACTTTTACTTACTTTCTTCAAAGAAAAATTTCCTTTAAAATAAAAGGAGGTGATCTTAACATCGTTGGCTATTGACAGGTGATGATTGACATCACATATCGACAGCTAATGTGAGATTCAAGTTATCATACAGAAGGACGTAATTGACATAACATTTTTTTTTACGTGAACCAGTTTATGTAGTACCTCGTAATTATTAAAGTAAAAAAAAATTTCAACATTCCAATTTCTTTTCTTTTGTTTTTTTTATTACTGTAGCTTACACCATAAGTTTGTTGATACTATCTGTAGAAATTATAAATACTATAAATAAATTAAAATACAAGTGCTGCACAGCTTTTTGAGGGCAACTATAGCCCCCTGTAATGAATAATCAGAGGTGAATAAACTTTGGTAAGCTTTATTCAACTTTAATACAGCTATAAAAAAAGAATTACGCTAGTATATTTATAAGCTTATGTGGAGTCGTCCATTACACCAAACAAGGGGGAGCAGGTTGTGGGAATTACTTACAACATTCTCCCCCACCAGCTAGTTATTCGTACAGAATAAAGTCTTTCCAGCGACCTGGCATTTTGCGGGTCCTTTGGAAACATCTTGATTGTTCAGGTGACTGGTGGCCGTCTATGTCAGACAACGAGTTGTAGTTATCATGATTATCGCATTTCTGCGTAGAGGGTCTAGCCTTGAAATGGCACTGTTTTTTCTTATGTTTAGGTTGCTGGGTGTCTGAAAAACACGTCTCAGTCTCCGACGTAGGGGGAGTCCGTTTTGGGGGTGTCGGTCTTTCTTCAGAATCAGAAGTAGAAAGTTCAGAAAAATTGGATTCATTCGGTAAAGTATCCGAACTTGATGTATGCGGGATTTGGTCGCCTAGCTGCACTGGGCTGGTTCTGGAAACTGGATTTTTGCGATTCTCCATGTAGATGTGCACAGTAGGGTCCTGATAGCATTTAGAGCCTCGGGGATGACACTTTCCCATTTCGAGATCGGCATTTTCTGGTTTGCCAACGCCAACTAAACTGTCTTCCATATTATTCCATTATATCTTTCACAGAGCCCGTTCCCTTGAGGGTTGTAAGGGGAGGTTCGGCTTACCGCCGCTCTTCGTTCATGCAAAAAATTCTTGAGGTCTTCCAACATAAAAGCAGATCCCTGGTCTGTATGAATGTATGCAGGCACTCTGAAAATTGCGAAAAGGGAGCAGAGGCCTTGAATAACTGTAGTGGCTGTTACATCAGGGCATGGAATGATGAAGGGGAACTTTGAGTACTCGTCAATTACAGTAAGCATGTATTTATTGGGAGTTTTAGAAGGTAGTGGACCCTTGAAATCCAGATTAAGCCTTTCGAAGGCTGAGTGGCCTTCTGAGTGTTGCTTGAGGGGCTTATAGAATCTCGGCTTATTTTCTGCACATATTTGGCAAGAGTTGGTAACTCTTTTAACATCTTCAACTGAATATGGTAAATTCCTGCTCCGGACTACATGTGTCATTCTTGTGATGCCCGGGTGGTACAATTCTTGGTGTATGCTCTGAAGATAAGATGATCTTGTTGTTAGACTGCACACCCTTGAAAGTGCGTCAACTGCAGCATTCTCCTTTCCAGGACGATAGGAGGCGTCGAATGAATAACAGGAGAGTTCCATCCGCCATCTTGCAATTTTCTCATTTTTTATTTTACTTGAGGTTTTTGGGTTAAACATGAATGATACCGATTTTTGGTCGGTGATAAGGTGGAATTGTCCGCCGATCAGATAAAGCCTCCATTTTCGTAAAGCTTCAACTATGGTGTACGCTTCTTTTTCTATGGCAGTATGCCTTCGTTCAGACTTCGAGAGTGTCCTAGAAAAAAAAGCTACAGGCCGACCATGTTGTCTTAAGGAGGCAGCTATTGCCGAATCAGATGCATCGGTTTCAACTACTAGTGGAGCTGAAGGATTAATGGCAGAATTAGCAATATCCCTTTTTAAATTTTGAAAAGCTCTAATGGCTGAATCAGATATAGGAAAAGTTCTTAGTTGAGTAAGTAAATGTATTTTTTCAGAAAAGGACTTAACCCATTGGGAATAATGGGCAAACATGCCAAGGGCTCGTTGTAATGCAGCTATATTTCCAGGAATTGGTAACTCCATTAGGGGTTTAAGTTGCTCGGGGTCCGGTCTCATGGCACCATTCCTGACTATGTACCCTAGTAGCTTGATGCTTTTCAAATTATATGAACACTTTTCCTCATTAAGGGTCAGGTCATATTTATTTTCTGGCGTGCCATGAATCGTTTGAGGTTGTGGTTATGATCTTCCTCGTTATAACCGCAAATAGTGACATTGTCTATGTATGCCACAGTACCCTTCAATTTCTCATTAGAAATGATTTCATCTATTATCCTTTGAAAACTTGCGACCCCATTTGTAACCCCAAAAGGGATCCTACGGGGAATTGGTATAAACGCCCACAAGCTTCAAATGCCATGTAAGGTTTTTCCTCCAGCTTGATGGGTATCTGATGGTAGGCACTCCTAAGGTCCAACGTACTGAAAATACGATACTTAGTGATATCGGAAATGATTTCGTCAATATGGGGCAGTGGATACGCATCGAGTTGCGTATATCTGTTGATGGTCTGGGAATAATCAACAACCATCCTCTTTTTATGGTTCTCATTAGTCGTTATTAGGACCTGGGCTCTCCAAGGCGATTTGCTGGGCTCTATAATATTTTCCTTAAGAAGTCTCTTCACTTCCATTGCAATAAATTCCTTGTCTTTGAGCGAATAGCGTCTGGATTTTACGGCTATAGGTTTACAGGCAGAGGTTAGATTTGAGAATAGAGATGGATATTGGACATTTGCAGTTGCTAATCCACATATTTGCAGCTCTGGTTTGGTACCACCAAATGGAATTGTAAGGTGAGAATGTCGGTTAAGGAAATTGTGCCCTAGAACTACTTCACAGCAGAGGTTCCTCATTACCAGCAACTTGACTCTAGAATAAAAATTTTCTTTTAGCTCGAGGTTAACCGTACAGAATCCGATTACACGACAGCATAAGGACGAAGTGCCCATTGATATTTGATTAGAACAGGGAAAAATTTTCCATTTATTTGTTTCCACGATATGTGCATCGATAAAATTTTCAGAACTCCCCGTATCAATAAGAGCGTGGAGATTTAGTCCGTTCACTCTGGCCGGCACAATTGTTTTAGAGAGGCATTTGGGAGAGACAGTTGATACGGTAGATAGAGATAGGGTGGCGGCTAAATGGGTTTTCTGTAAAGGGGCCGACCGTCAAACCTTTAAAAAATGTCCCTGCTTGCCGCATCCATGACATCTACTGTTTCGAGCCGGGCAGAATGAACAAGCGTGTTTACAAAGGCCGTAGAAGTAGCACTTAATCTCAGGTGAAGCGATATTAGTGGGTTGTTCAATAGGATTTGAAGAATCCTTATCCTGGAGGTCACAATGTTGTGAATTTGAGCTGGGAATTTGTTGAGAATGAGAATGGGCAGGAATAGTAGCCCCTGAAAAATCAGGTTGCGAATAGAGATCTGATTGTTTCTGGGCCATGTCCAACGTAAGGGCTAGTTCGTAGGCGGTAGCCAGATCCAAGTCCTTGTTTTTGAGCATCTGTTGTCTGATTTGGTTAGACCGTACTCCACTGATGAATGCATCTCTTAAGATATCCGTGGCTTGGCTTGCTGTCAGGGCAGTAAAATCACAGTTGTGACTTAATATTTTCAGGTTTTGAAGATACAGCTCTAGACTTTCTTCAGTCTCTTGACGCCAAATAGCAAGCAAGTATCGTGCAAAAATGGAGTTTTTCTTCTTAATGAACATACCATCCAGAGTGCTTATAGCAGTATCGTAATTTTGACACTCAGTCAAACACTTGTAAATGGGAGTAGAAACATGGTGTAATAAGAGGGTTAATTTCTGTGAGCCAGTCAATGCCGACGTAGAAGAAGACTGCAGCTCCGAAATAAATCCCTTGAACATAGCCCTCCAATGTTGCCATTTGTCACTAGAGTCAGGGTCTGAAGTATCGAGTTCGTCGGTCAGGCTTGAGGTATTGTTCTATTATTTAAAGTTGAATAAATTGTAATGAATAATCAGAGGTGAATAAACTTTGGTAAGCTTTATTCATCTTTAATACAGCTATAAAAAAAGAATTATGCTAGTATATTTATAAGCTTATGTGGAGTCGTCCATTACACCAAACAAGGGGGAGCAGATTGTGGGAATTGCTTACAACACCCCCTAAAGTCAATACTGAAATGTACAATGTTGAAATTAAGCCAAAATTGACTTTGACATTGTTGGGTCAAAGGCCAGCCAGCTGACAATACCAAGCTGTCATCACCTTGTAAAAAATCCTTTTTTTTTTTTTTTTTTTAAATCTATGTTTGAACAATGGCTTGATGTATTTTTGTTTTTTAACACCTTTTGAGCAGGGTGATGACAACAACACTTAAGGAATGATTATGAGCTGCAGGCAGAATGAACCGAGATCTGAGAGGGAATGCTGGAAATTTGTAACATGTTCACAAATAACAAGTAACATAGGCACGTGTAGGAAATATTTTGAATTCACAATGATCATTGATAGATAGTTAGCTGGGGTTCTGTATGTAATTACTTGGGTAGGCTCCAGAGAAATTCGCACAAACAGTCAGTGTTTGAATGATTTTTCTGACTGTAACTGAGAGGTTAAGTGTGTCAAAAAATGTGATGAAATTCTCACAAAATAGCATGTGGTAATAAACTGTTGATAAGAACTGAAAACAATTTGTTTGAAATAAGAAATTCACATAAAATTGAAATAAAGACGACTCACTGAAAACTGTAAAACAACTTCAAAAAATTGAAATTGCAATGAAATATGTAAATGAAATAAATGGTACTTTTAAAAATGTATTAATGTTGATGGTGAAAATGGCTTAGGATGATGTTCAAATTTTTTTAATGAGTAAAAAAACGCTAATTCAAAATGCTGAACATGTTTCGCACGAAGAATTTGCAATAATGTAATCGACGTTCAGTGGAGGACGCTTACACTCAAGCCATGTGACGTTTTATTGCTTGTGACCTTCGGTACTTTTTAATTACAGACATTTTAACAATTTTTATGAACACAAAATTACATTTCTTAATTACTGTGGATCTTCTGATTAGTCAAAATAATACAATTTACAGTGCACTAAAAGATCTATCTCATAAGGACACTTAGGAAACCCAATGCGGCTTTTAACTAATTTTATAATACTTTAACAACTTAAATGCAAAAATCTATTATAATTAAAGAAATAACAAATAATTGTATTAAAAATTCATTTTTCAATGAAAAAAGTTTTTGCTTTCAGAAAATATCGTCCATATTCATAAAAACAACTAAAAGCAAATAAAAGCATTTGAAATTATTTGTTTTATTGAGTTTTATATGTTACAATTCAGAACTGATTTTCAGGTACTGCGGGTCCAATTAAAAAAAAAAACCCAAAAAAAAACATTTGCTTCCTCAAAGCCTTGTGCTTATTGTAATCACTAAACCTGATGTGATTGAATTTCTAGTGTTTTCATAAAATTAGTTATGGGGAGGTTAATATAAAAAAAAATATTTCTGCCATGACTTTAATAAAAAAAAAAAAAAATAATAATTTCGATCCTCTGAATAGTCTCTGAAAGTTTCATTAACATCCGACAATTACTTTATTTTTGCAAGATTTTCCAAATTAATGTGTCATACAAACAAAAAAAAAAAAAACGTGCTAAAAATTGTATATGTTGTTTTACTAGTTCTGGTGATACCAAGAGAAACAAGATTTTTTTTAATCAAAATGTAGAATGTTCAAAAAAAAAGGAAAATTTTAAAAAATAATTAACAAAAAACTTTGATCTTTCCTCTTTATAATAACCTGAACATTTAGATGATAAAATTTTGTTTTCGTCAAGTTTGACATCTTTTTCATCTTGCTATGCTCTTTTTTTAGCGATTTCATGGAGTTACTTAAATTAACTGTAATACACAGCAGGATAGATTTTCATTTAATAAAATGACAATCTATACTTATTTTAATCTAATTTTTTTTAAGTAAATATTTGTCTAAATACTATTTCTTTTTCAGTAATATTTTTTTGGTTTATTAGCTAATTTCATCATTTATTTTTGGGTGTTTGTTGTTGCATTGAATGTTTACCTTTATCAGAGAGAAAGCATGTACTAGATATGTGAAATCGAGTGCCTGTACTTGAGTTCTTGGGATAGTCCTTTCTCTGATCTGCATGATGGCTATGATTGACCTTCCAGTGTACTAGCCATATTCACTCAGAGCAAGTTTCAATATTTCAAAATATAACAGACCCAAGGAAGACTGGATTGTATATTAGCTGAAATGTGATTTAAACAAATATAAGCAAATAGTTCAAACAATTACTAAACTGTTTGAAAATAAAGTGTCAGTTAATGTAGCTTGAACTTTATTTACTCTCAAAGAAAGGATGAAAAAAAAAAAGAAGCTATTTTTTTCAACTGTAATAATACTTTTCCAAAATTTTATTTCAGATCGCAAGAAGGATCTTGTGAAGCTACAAGCTGGTGAGTATGTCTCACTCAGCAAAGTGGAGACTGTTCTCAAGATGTCATCTCTTGTTGAGCAAATCTGCATTTATGCCAACAGCTTCCACAATTTCACAGTCGGCCTGGTTGTACCTAATCAGAAGAATCTCTGCAAGCTTGCCAGTGAAATAGGTCTGAATGGATTGGACTTTAAGCAACTTTGCCAGAACCAAAAGTTGGTCAAAGAAGTGACAAAGAAACTCAGTGACTTTGGTGTTACCTGTAAGTTATTTCTCTCTTGCTTTTTAATTCTGGCCTTATGCCAAACAAGGTTAAGTTTAGATAGTCTGTTCTTGCTATTTAGGTTTGTGCTTTGTCATTAATTTACATAGCTTTTTATCTTCATATGCATTTTTAATAATAAAATTCATGTATTTTTAGATTTCTAAAACAATTTAATAAGAACAATTTTGTATCCATTATTCATATCATTTGTGAGATAAACTTTCTTACATAAATTAGCAGTAATTTTTAAGGAAAGTTTTTTGTTATTTACATTTTAACATTGAAGATGTTTTTCTCTAAAACTTTGAATAGATTTTCTATTGACCATGAATAAAAAAGAATTAAGTCTAAAGTTTTGTATTTTGTTTTTCAGCTTGCTTAGAACGCTTTGAAATCCCGGCAAAGATCAGCCTCTGTCCCGACGCCTGGATGCCTGACTCAGGGCTTGTTACTGACGCATTCAAATTAAAACGTAAAAACCTTGAGGAGAAATTCAGGACTGAGATCCTAACAATGTATGGCTCCCAGTAAAAAAGAAAATAATCTGGGGTTAGCAGTAACACCCTCTTTTTCCCCCCACTTTCAAGGTCTACAAACCTCTACAAAGAGGAGAGTAAACCCAGGAAAATAATAAGCTAAGGGCCAGTAATTTCTTTTTCTTGGGGGTCTTGTGTCCTTATCTCCAGTTCCTGTGTCCTCCAGCTTGCCCAATGGAATAACTGTACCATCATTGGTACTTTGTTGCCAACATTTGATTATTATGAAAATAATGTCTCTGAATCATTTAATATAGACTTTATTTTTAACACTAAATCAATTTTAACATTTTTTTTCTCTTTTCTCTAGAAAAGAAAATTATATTTACAGAAGTTATATAAAAGTTTGCTGATTTTTTTATTTTATTTTTATTTTTTTTAACCTGATTTCTCTACTTGTGAGTATATAAAAGTGTGGGTGAAAATTTATAATCCCCCCTCCCCGCCACCAAAAAATACGAAAATACTAAAAAACGATTCTGAAATAATATTTTCTGTTTTGATTGTTTTTTTCTTTATTCAGTGGCATTAATATTTTGTAGTAGACTGATTTTTTTTTTTTTACCCCCCTCTTTTTCAATGTATGGTTTTTATATTAAACAGATTATCAAATGCCAAAATTAACTGCTATTGAAAGTTAAACTCAAAAGGTATTTCATTAATTTTTTTTTTAATATCTTTTATTTCTTGACTTTCCTTCTATTTGTTATGTTATCAGATTTTTTTAATTTTTACTTTTCAGATAAAAAAAAATGTTTATTGAAATTAGTTTTTCATTAAGGAAGAAAAGAAGAATTACTCTTATCTCTAAATCTTTCATATCTTTTTCTTAAAAGTTTAAAATATTATTTTTCCTAGATTTTAAATCAGTACAATTTATAGGTTTTGGTTTAACAACACAAACTGTCTTGATTCCAAGGTTTGAAATGAATTCACTCTTAGAAGTATGTAAGATCAACATGCTAAAAAAATTAATAATAATGTGAAGTAATTTTCACATGAACTTAAATTTTCAGTTGGTTTTGCATTTAAAGAAAAATCTTTTTACTTTTTTTTTTTTTTTTTTTTTTTTTTTTTTCTTCTTTGCTTTTCCTTGTTCACTTATGAACATATTTTGTTATTGATAGGACCCAATATTAGAATTGAAAAATAGTTTCTGGGCTATTTTGGTGTTAAATTAGTAGATATTTAACTCCAGTTTATTGTCTGGTCTTCTCTTAAGAATTTACTGGTGGCTTCTTGGCATTTGTATATGCCTTTTGATGCTTTGAACTTATGAAAATATGAACTCAAGCTATCACAAATTTTTATTTGCATTATTAGCCAACAAAAAAATAAAATAAACCTCACCTTAATTTTGTAATTTTTATCTCACTTTTATTCCCCTCCTTGCCTCCTTACATCGTCAAAACCATTGTTTCATTTTCTTTTGATTGTTTGTGGTGTTTTTATTTTTATTTTTTTCTATCTGGCCTCAGGATCTGAAAATGATTAAAAAAAATATATATTCTTACCGCTTTGATGTCTTAAGAAATTAATTAGCGCATATCCACTTTTTTTTTTAAAAGATTAGAAAATTTAGTCTTCTCAGAAAAATTTTTTACTATTTTTTTTCTAAGTCTCTTTCTGTGATTAAATACAGCAGCACTCTTTTCATAGGGAACTCAAATTTATACTAGACAGTATAAATGTAGATTCTATAAAGCAGATTTCTTTCCTCTATATTTTTGTTCTTTTGAATATTCTTTGTTTTCCTGTGACCTCAAAAAGTAATTTTAAAATGGTATTTTCAGAATATAGGGCCCAGATTTTGAATTTTTTCAATTTTATTTTGAATTTAAAAAAATTTTTTTGGATACATTCCAATCCAATGATCTCTTAAATATAATTTTTATCCAGTGTTATCTTTCTTCCAATCCCCACCCTCAACTTTGATCACCAATGCATTCTTATGTTATAAATGTATTTTTTGCTGTGATACAGTGTATGCATCAGGAGATGACTGTAGTAGGAGTCTGGGTATTCCTCAGTGCACAACACCTGACCCCCCCCTCTCATTATGACCTTACCATCTTTTCCTCTTCCCACTTTCTATCTTTTTTCTCTGTTCTTATCTCTTTCTTTTATTTTTGTTTTCCTCCCTGGTCATGGCCTCAGCACCATCCCTCATTTGCTTGTGTCTACAGCTGAAAGTGACATCCATACATGGCTGCATATTTAATTGTATTTTCATTTTAAGATATCTATATTTTCCAAAATAAATAAAACTTGTCATGCTTAAATATATTGCCATCAATTTTGAAGAGAAGGAAACTGGAAAAAAAAATGAAGTACAATAAGATCAACTGTTCAAATATGTGAAAATATCAAATGTCTTTGTTAATCTCTCTTTGAATCATTTTTAAATGTATAAAATATGGAATGTCCCAAAATTAATGCTACAAAAACAAGTGTCAAATGTATTTCTCTTTGAATGCAGAAATTTTGGGACACTTCGTATGACAAAATTATGTTATAAAATATCTCCCTCTGAATCCAAAGCTATTATTAAAAAAAGAAAAAAAATGACTTGAATGAAAGCTTTTTGTGAAAAGCTGTAAATGCTACATTTTTTTTTTTTTTTTTTTGTTTTTGTTTTTGTTTTTTTTTTGTCATCACTTGTGTTCACCTGACTATTTTCTCTTTGAAAACTGAAAGTGACATGTGGTACTTCTGAAAAATAAATTGTTTAAAATTAAATGTGCATGGCTTCTGAGGGAGCTTACTTTTCTAAAAAAAAAAAAAAAAAAAAAAAAAGTGGAAAAGTTGTTCTTGATTGTGCTTGTTAAAATTAAAAAAGAAAAATCTCTTCATGTATTATCAGCAAAATTGATGGCATCTTAATATACACTCACTCATGCACATATGCAACACTTACATATCTCTTTGTATAAGTGCACTCACAGATAAAACTACTTAGGGTGAATAATTTATATAACTCCTCACTTTTTTTTTCTTTTTACAGAGGCAAGGCATGCAATGTAAAAAATTTTTTCTCCCACTCTCAAAAGAGAACAATTATTTTAGGTTGTTTGTTGATGGACCAAAAATAGCTGGTCTTAGATGCTGGATTTGTTGCTAAAACTGTTTTTGTGTGTATGTATTATTATTTTACTCTTTAATTTTAAAAATAAGAAACCATTTAACTTTTTTTTTCATAAGAATTATTACTTGAAAAAAAATTTATAAATTAGTTAATAGCTGTATTTTTTTTTTTTTTTTTTTTTTTTTTAATTCATCTGCCAAAAAGTAATTAATTTTTCAACTTGAACAAATGAAGAAAAAATAGATTTTTTTTTCACCCATTAAAGAACCTTCAAAATTTTCAGAGTGAATATAAAATAATCAATGTGTGATTTTTCTTTTCCCAACTTTTTCCTGTTGGGACTGAATAAAATGAATGAAAGAAATATTTTTTGTTTTTGTTTTTTTTTGCATATGATAAATGAAAGAATAAAATTGTAAAAAATGTAATTGGGAAGTTACTTTCAGGGTTTTCTATTTTTTAAATATCAGCTTACCTAGTGTTAGTCTTTTGTAGTACTTTGTAATTTCTCATTATTCAATACTTGAACAGTAGATTGAAATATTGTATTAGACTTGATTCTAAGATGTTGGTGTTTAATGACAGAATCTGTTTAAGCAATCATCATCACCACCATCATCCAGAAAAAAAAAAAAAAAAAAGAAGAAAAAAAAAAGCAAAACACACCTGATTATCAGTTACCATGAAAATTAAACAAATACAGGAAGAATTTTGTTCAAGCAGATAAAATGGTTGAAATTCCAGAGCTGGAGATTGAAAAGCTTCAGCTAAGCAGTGCAAGAATTTATTTAAGTCCAAAAAGATAAACTCTTAATATCTATTGCACATTTTTTCCATGACTCAGCTTAAAGAATTCATTAATTTTATCGCCTAACATATAAACCTGAGCATTTCAGTTCAAATTTAGTCTTAGTTCCCGGTATATATTTAACCATGTTATGTAAATGGCCAAACTCCTCACACTTCTCTTGTGTTTTCACCAATTGATTCAATACTGTTAAAAACTTTCTTTTAACAATAAGAATTCATGAAAATTTTCTTCCTATGATGGTTGTATGGATTCTACTTTATTAGTTTTTTAATGAATCACTGCATTTAAATAAGTAAAAAGCAATCATATGTTGGGAGAAATCGACATCAAGAATTACGTCCTTTATGCATTTTTCTATTGTAAATAGTTCATTCCCTATTCTCTACCAAATTGGTAACTTTTTATTTTGTTGTAATGGTCAGTTTAAAAAAAGGCTTATAAAGATTTTTATTAGCACATTAACAAATAAGCAATTTGCTTAGGAAATCGTTGAATTTTAATTTAAGATTAAAAAATTCTCAAGAATTAGGACATTTAGTCCCGTAATTTATGTGTAATATTTTACAAGCATTGAAACTTAGTAGTAGTTTTAATCAAATGGACCATAATCCAAAAGAGATCACTTATCCTTGGCATGAAGTCTGCAAGGAGAAATACTTAAACATGTTTTATTGTTGCTAAGAAAATATCTTCATACAATGTCCATTTTGTATGATGGATGACTTGGATGAATTTGGCACTCAGTACTTGTAATTTTTAACCAGTTAAAATTGGGAAAATAATGTATTCTGAAAAGCATTTTGCCTTATTTTTCATATTTCCAAATATGTTTATATACACATAAGAGGAGGGGGAAGGAAACTCGCGGTGTTAAAACATTTCTGGTTTGTTTGGTGGGTGTGAGGAAAGTTAAGTTTATTTTTTAATACAAGAAACTAATAAAAATACAGAATAAAAAAAGAAACCAGAATTAGAGAAATCAACGGTTTAAAGGGGATTTTTTTCTCACTTGTAAATCAAGAAAAGATATCTGCAGACTACTTGTTGACTATTTGTTTTCTTGTCTTCTAACATTCTTTATAAAATTTGTCTTTGACTTTTTTTTTTATGCTTCATCTATAAATGCTTATCTAAAACAAAATAAATAAAACACATGTACACTTGACTTATTCATTATTATTTTATTTATATTTGTTTAGAATTGCTTACCAATATATAATTCCACTGATTTAGGGTTTCTGGATAAAATAAAATGAGACAAATATTAAATTACCTAATTGAATTTCATTTGCACTCTGTAATGAATTGAAGACTTGACCATGGAGTAATATTTACTTTACAAAACTTATTTCTTAATATGATATAGTCATGAGAAAATAAAAACATTTTTACCGGAATTGTATCTAAGAAATAACAGATTTGTCTTCCCAGGATAAAATAGCAGTCTTTTTTCTTTTTTTTTCTTTTTTTCAAAACTAAAAAAAAAAAAAAACCCAAAAAATCTTTACCACACATGTGTGCACACACACACGATTCTGTTGTTTTTTAGTTTTTATAATTCTACAGCAAATAGTTCTTAAGATATATCCAAAAGCAAAAATGTTTTCCTTTTGTGTAGATTTGATCTTTTGTCTTTTTTTTTTTCTCTATCATGATTTTCTTCTCCCTTTTCTCATTTATTTTTTAATTAGCAAAGTTATTTTAATCTTTATGCATTTTCTACTTTTCCCACCTAAAATTTGTGCAGAAGTTGCTGATTGCATACTCCTCTCTCTCTCTCTCTCTATTGTTTTGAATTCCCCTCTCCCTCTCCTATTTGACTGATTTCTTTTTTCTTAAATATGCTATTTTTAAATTCTTCATTGTTTCGACAAAATTTAATTTTTTGAATAGCATAACTTCTAACCTTTCTCACCTGATTAAAATCATGCATTTAAATATTTATAGCTACCTCCTAAAGATTTGCTGAAAAATGAGCATACCTGATGAAAAAAATGGCCGAAACTTAATAAAAACAGTAAAAATCTTTGTTATTAAGAGGAAAGAACAAAGGATTTTTTTTTTTTTTTATTAAATTATATTTTTTAATCCTTTTTAGAACCTTCAAAAATTTTTTTTTGTCTTGTGGCAGTGGGTGATGATAGATTAGCATAGGTACTTGTCTTTTTGTGATTTGAAAATTCTTGCAAAAATCAATTTTTCAGTTTCTAATGAAACTTTCAGGACTTATTCACAAATAAATGGAATTATTCTAGAAATGTTTCCTTTTATGAAAATCTTGATAATTTTTTTTTTTTCTTACATCTGTTACTCCACACTTATTAAATTTAATGAAATTCCAAGAAATTAATTTTTTTGTTTATATTAATTCGTCATAAGCAGAAGTCTTTGGAGAATTTAAACCCTCAAGTTTTTTTTTTTTTTTTTTTTTTCCTTTATAAAAAAAGAACCCCCCCAGCCTCCAGTTACCAAAAATTTGTTCTGAATTTTAAAATAAAAAATTTAATAAAAGTATAACATTATTTATCCAGAAAAGGTTTTAATTGCTTTAATGAATAAGATATATCATGGATACTATTGTTTTAAGAATAATTTTTTTTTTTTTTTTTTTTCTCAATGAATAATGAATATTTCCAAGAATTTTCATTCTTTTAAAATTTTAATTTGAATAATTTATGAGTTTTAAAAATCTGTATTAATTTGTACCAGGTAGGTGATATTGTTAAGTAAAAACCATATTTACCAGTCATAAATACCCCCCACTCTCACCCAAGTATTTTTAAAAGAATTTTGATTTCTTGTGTGTGCATGGGAGTTGTGGGGGGTTATAAATGTGCCAATTTTTGTAAATACAGATGTTCATACATGACATTATCAGAAAATAGTAAATTTAAAGCCAAAGTCTGTAAAATTCAATAAATCATTAGATTATGGAAAATATTTCATAAATTATGATTACAGGGTAGTTAAAAAAATTTATATAAAAAAAGGTGCTCATGTTATATTCATCAAATAATTTTTACAAATATGTCTCCCATAGATAAAGTTTACAAACATAATTTTCTATACGTAAAAACACCAATCTCTGTGTTAAAAAATGCTTTTCTGTGATATTTTAAACTAAAAGTAATATTTGTTTCAAATTGGATTAATTAAACTTTAAATCATCTAATATTCCTCAAATAAAGTTTCAGGAAAGTATATTTTTTTGGTAACGAGAATTATTTTGTAGTGAGAGAATTGTAAATATGGCTAAAATCAGCCATCTTTTTAGCAATTAAAAAAAAAAAAAAA